TAAGTGTGATCAAATTTTAAAATGAAATCACAGGTTGGTACAGAGAATAATTTTATATGAAAGAAAACTAATAGATTTAATGAAAACAGTGAAGGTTCTTATTATTATATTGTTATCTATGTTTTAAGAAGTTTTTAAATTTTTGTTTCAGTTGGCATTCTTAAAATATGTGGGGTGGATTTGAACATTATGATTCTACACACTTGATAAAATGTATCAGGAACAATTTTTTAACAAAAAATTTAATATTGGATGTACTTGTAAAATGGCATGATATTATTTATGTCTATGAGAGAGACTGTCAACACACTGAAGCTGGGCTACGTCATAAATTAAATGACCAATGAGTTATACCTGATAAAATTAAAAAGATGAAGGTAATGCAAATAAAAGAAATAATTTGTATTCAGCTTCTATATCCTATATCAGAGCAAGTGTTGATTCAATGACCTGTATTTTTAATTATGTTACCAGTAGTTAATATGGTTTACACTTAAATTACAATAATGATTCTCTAATGAAGATAAATTTAATTATGATATTTCTTTTTGTAGGTAAAAAATTGTGTAAAAATATTGAGCCATTATGTCTGCAGCTTTGTCTTACACTGCAAATTTCTGTGAGTATTAGATGAAATTTATTAACAGTTAATAGTTTTAAATCAAGTTTCATACAATTATTATATGAATATTTTAATTTGCAGCAACTTATGTGGATGGCAGACCCGTCAGCACAACATTAAAAAATACAGCTGAAGTTGTTTCATTCTTTGACCAATTATTTGATAGTGTCAATGGAGCATCGATAAACAAATAAACCTTAAAGGAAAAGAGCTGTGACAAATAAGACACACCATCATTTTTCTGGCCAAAGGCAATTGAAATTTTAGAAAAACTTAAATATGTGTATAAAAAGGTATGCAAAAATCAGTGCCCTCTTTAAAAAAAATTGTGATTATCTTGAAAAGTTTCATAAGGTTGTGCCACTAAAAAAACGTAACTAGGAATTGCTGAGAATGCAGAAGAAAGCTGTGAAAAATATAATAAGTTAAAAAATAAATGATTAAATAAATAATATTGGAAAAATGTGTGTTTCATTTACGTGTTCGTTTTTCCTTTTTTGTTTTAATACAACAATAATAATAAGCTAGACTTATCAGTCTGCTTTTTTATTATTGTTGTATTAAAACAAAAAAGGAATTTAAATTAAAGTATAAATAATATGGAAAATAGGAAGACGGCTACGTACCTACCCAAAGAAGGGCTGTATAGCCAAATGCCTTTGCCGATAGTAGATCAAAATATTTAAAACGAATGAAGCTGTCATGTATCACTGGCTCCCAATCACGTTCTACGAAGAAATTTTTTGTTAGGAAGTTGGTCGTCTGATACCTACTAAGTCTGTGATACATCACGGCCCGTCAACTCCCTACAATAATCCAATCGCGTAGGGGTCCAGTGATGTATGACATTTCCACACGCCCCTCACCCCTGTCTGTAGATGGAGACATGACACCTGACAGAAACTGTCATTACAACAAAGAGTAAAGATACTAATGTTTTAATTAATCTTTAATTAATTTTACTTGTTGGAATTAATTTATTCATTTCACATTGGCAAAATTGTGTGAAATGCGCTGATATACCATTAATAAAAGAAGAAAACTTAAGTATGCACCTACATAACAGGGAATTACAAGTGATTGAGTAAAGTTTCTTTTGTGCTTACCCTGTTCGCTTTATTTGTAATATAAACTCTCAATTTTTCGAAGTATTTTTATTTGTAGAAGATGCCTAAGAAATTGGTGTGTTATGTTATGGTTGTGTTACACGCATTGTTAAAGTACGAACAGGACGCTATTCTTTGTAAGATTCTAGTGGACGAGAAAAGATTCTCCAAGTGGTTACAATGTCTTAGTGCTGTGTGTGATACTGAAAATTTTAATCCAGGCAGAAGTGTTATTTGTAGCAAACACGATGTACCAAGATTCATCACTCCAAAATCATGACTCTTGGGTGATGCATATCCGTCATTGTTTAATGATGACGGGCTCTCAATCAGCCTACCCTCTTCAAGCAATACTGGTAAGGCTGGTTTAATCTGCTATTACGTTTAGATAATGTAATTAAAATGATATGTATCTTCACTTTATGTTGTGTTTTGGAATACAGCTATTCTTCATTAGATTTTTTTTTATTACAGAAATTATATTCACTTGGGAACACAGCTATGCAAGAAAAAGTCATGTTGACCACACATATTAGAAAGTGGAACTGAACAGAGGTTTGTTTTTAATTTACTTTATTTAGACAACAAAGTTCATGCTGCAGTTTTGGTGTATTTTAATATAGATTTTTACTTTAAAAAAGTCTAGTAGATCTCTCTTTCTTACACATATAAAGAAAAATTACATTAAGTTACTTAACTGTGGGCACGCTAGAAGTGATTTTGATCAGAGAAAAAATTGATAATATAAATAACATATTTCTAATATCATCTAAGATTATATCCTGTTTTTTAATCTTACACACATAATCAATATTGATTTCATAGGTGGTGTAATTTTAAAAGAACAAATTGAGACTCCTGTGTCTGCAGCCACTGAGTTTACTCAATTAGTTGCGTGCTCTGGAGATTAAAATATGACACAAACTAAACTATCTGATAAGACCTGCCTCTTTCTTTAGTGTATCTTTATTTCAATCAAATAGTAGTTCTAATAGAGAAATTCACTGAATACTTTTGATGTTACAGACCCTGTGAAATGTACCCAAACAAAAAGGAAAAGGCTTATTACCAAATAAAGCCAATTGTCACCTTTATACCAGAGAATTTATGAAGAATATAATAAGCCAAAGACGTAGTTTAACTTTCTTAAAAAAGTTAAGAATACTTAAATACCTTTAAGTTTTGTGAAAAGTTATCATTTGAGAAGTTCAGACAAAAAATGAACACAGTTGCAAAAATGTTTTTAAAATGCATGTGAGCATGTGCTCTAAAAATAAACATGAGAGGTGATTCACTACCGAAGAAAAGATAATTGCTTTATCAATATCAAAGCAGAGTCCAAAGTGTTATTGATTTTTAAGCAAAATTTTTTATTTTATCATCCAAAACTACACTGAATACTATGATTAGAAAAATGATCATAGAACCAGGCTTCATGTAAGAGGTAAATATATTCCATATAAGTTTTTTCATACTACTTTTATAATTTTATGTATTACTACCAAATAATAATATTTTCTTTTTCTACTACTATTTGAATTTACTTTTTCAGATGGACAAATGAAACTCCAAAAAAATATACTACATTATATTTGATGAGATGTCATTAGAAACAGCACTTTCGTATAATAAAAGTAATAAGGATTAAAGGATTTGTAGAACACCAAGAAAAGAAAGCGGATTTTGCAGATCATACTCTTGTATTTATGTTGGTGCTGTTTACAAGTGGCAGCAGCCTTTATGTTTATTTATTTCTGTCGAGGAGTGACATCTACTGTACATCAAGAATATTTTAAAGTTAGTAGTAGAAAAAGTTGTTGAACTGGACCTTAATCCCATCGCAATAATATATGACCAAGGCTCAGCTTTCCAATCAGCCCTCAAAAATCTAAAGAAGACACTTAGTGTGATCAAATTTTAAATTGAAATCACAGGTTGGTACAGAGAATTATATTTATATGAAAGAAAACTAATAGATTTAATGAAAGTAGTGAAGGTTCTTATTTTTATGTAGTTATCTATGTTTTAAGAAGTTCTTAAATTTTTGTTTCAGTTGGCATTCTTAAAATATGTGGGGTGGATTTGAACATTATGATTCTCCACACTTGATAAAATGTATCAGGAATAATTTTGGTGGTAAACTTGCAAAATGGCATGATATTATTTATGTCTATGAGACAGACTGTCAACACACTGAAGCTGGGCTACGTTATAAATTAAATGACCAATGAGTTATACCTGATAAAATTAAAAAGATGAAGGTAATGCATTGGTTATTATATTAGTATAACTTAAATTAGTATAAATAAAATAAATAATTTGTATTCAGCTTCTATATTCTTTATCAGAGCAAGTGTTGATTCAATGACCTGTATTTTTAATTATGTAACGAGTAGTTAATATAGTTTACACTTAAATTACAATAATGATTCTCTAATGAAGATAATTTTAAATATGATATCTCTTTTTGCAGGTAAAAAATTGTGTAAAAATATGTCTGCAGCTTTGTCTTACACTGCAAATTTCTGTGAGTATTAGATGAAATTTACTAACAGTTAATTGTTTTGAATCAAGTTTCATACAATTATTATATGAATATTTTAATTTGCAGCAACTTATGAGGATGTGCACAACATTAAGAAATGCAGCTGAAGTTGTTTCATTCTTTGACCAATTATTTGATAGTGTCAATGGAGCATCGATAAACAAAAAAAGCATAAAGGAAAAGAGCTGTGACAGATAAGACACACCATCATTCTTTCTGGCCAAAGGCAATTGAAATTTAAGAAAAACTTAAATATGCAAAAATCAGTGCCCTCTTTAAAAAAAATTGTGATTACCTTGAAAAGTTTCATAAGGTTGTGCCACTAACAAAACGTAGCTAGGAATTGCCGAGAATGCAGAAGAGAGCTGTGAAAAATATAATAAGTTAAAAAATAAATTATTCAATAAATAATATTGGAAAAATGTGTGTTTTATTTACGTGTTCAATTTTCCTTTTTTGTTTTAATACAACAATAATAATAAGCTAGACTTATCAGTCTGCTTTATTATTATTGTTGTATTAAAACAAAAAAGGAATTTAAATTAAAGTAAAAATAATATGGAAACTAGGAAGACGGCTAGGTACCTACCCAAAACAGGGCTGTATAGCTAAATGCCTTTGCCGATAGTAGATCTATATTTTAAAACGAATGAAGCTGTCATGTATCACTGGCTCCCAATCACGTTCTACGAAGAAATTTTTTGTTAGGAAGTTGGTCGTCTGATACCTACTAAGTCTGTGGTGATACATTGATAGTACGTTAACGAATATGATTTGCCGGTAAAATTGTGCTAAAAGTAGAAGTGAATTTCATTTATTATAGTTTTTTTTTCTAACAAATAGTGACATTTATAAAATGCAAGCATTCCTCAAAACTGGTAAAATTTCTGGATCTGATAAACCTTCTTCTTCTGGTGTTAAACCTTCTGCAAAAAAGAAACCACCAGCACCATGGGTAGAGAAATAGTACGTATAGAAAATAATAACATAATCCATTAAATTGGTCACTTCATCCCTGATACTAAAACAATACAATCGGTTGATTGTATTGTGCAAGCTTTTTAGAGTTAAAAAGGCACATAATTATATTATTGGTTAATGGCGCGAATTGTTGACGATGCCTGGATGCCCTGGCACTTGTTATTATTTAGTTTTCACTCTATATTTTAATCGTTTTATTTTCCCATTTCATTACAGTCGTCCCAAAACAATTGATGATATTGTTGATCAAGGTGAAGTGATTCAAGTATTACGAGAATGCCTAGCAGGAGGAGATTTACCCCATTTACTGTTTTATGGTCCACCCGGTACTGGTAAAACCAGTGCTATTTTAGCTGCCGCTAGACAACTCTTTGGCGATATCACAAAAGATAGGGTTTTAGAACTCAATGCATCAGATGAGCGGGGTATCCAAGTTGTAAGAGATAAAGTAAAGGCCTTTGCTCAATTGACAGTCAGCAGCACAAGACCTGAGTAAGTACAATATCAATATACTATCAAGGTTAGTGTTGTCTATATAATTTGTATTATAAATGTACAGTCAATTAACTGAATTGCATATTTACGTTACCACAATACGAATTGCTTATTGTGGTAACTGATGTGTGTACATTGGTTAATAATAATGTATTTATAGAATATATTTTTCTTATACAGTGGTCGCCCCTGTCCACCTTACAAACTAGTAATTTTGGATGAAGCAGACTCCATGACTACAGCTGCTCAGGCAGCATTAAGACGCACAATGGAGAGAGAGACTCGCACCACGCGCTTCTGTCTTATTTGTAACTACGTATCACGGATTATTCCTCCAATTACAAGTCGATGTTCTAAGTTCCGTTTCAAACCCTTAGCAAGAGAAAATGTTATTAAAAGGTAATTACTACTTAATTATTCTTAGAACTAGTTAATGTGTACTTAATATAAACTTATATATTAAATTTATCATATACAAAAAGAAACAAAATAATTACCACTATCCTCCCCTTTGTTCTGTTACCACTGCCAGCAGAATTTAATACTGAACCTCTAATCTAAGTATGTATAAGAAAACTCACATTAAACACATTAAATTGTAGAACCCTGGTTAGGATACTTCTTAAAAATGCATAATATTATTTTCAGGCTAAGTGAGATATGTGAGACTGAAGGTGTGGATATAGGCGAGGGCACTGTGTTACACCAGGCAGTAGAAACGTGTGACGGTGACTTGCGACGAGCATTGACAGCTCTGCAGTGTTGTCAGCGGCTCTTAGGAAAAATTACTGCTGAAGGTCTTATTGAGGTAAGTTTAAAAACATATTTTTACAATTTATATAACTTTGCAATTGGAGAGATATTAGTAATAAGAATGTTTACTACTTACATTTACAGGTAACAGGCTTAGTACCAGACCAATTAGTTCAAGATTATTTGAACATCAAAAATTATACAGAACTGGAGAAATTTGTGTATAGGTAAGTTTGTGTACAGTGAGTCAGGATAAATGAAAATAATTTTAATTGGAATAGAAGCTTTAAGACAAAGATTTCGTTGTACAACTCATAAAGGAAGCGATGGATTGGGTTGGTACATCTTCTTCCTGTGTGTGGCCGGAAGTTATTCAAGGCAGGGGCTTAATACATATTTGTCTAAAGATTCTATAATACGCTTGATGATTTCTCCGTCAGCTTCGCACCTACCCTTAAATCAGATGGCGCTATAATTTATTCTTTTAATTTTTTTTAAGAAATAATATAGTTTGTAACTAAATTTTCTTGTTTAAACATGTTATTGCATACGATAAACACTTGTAGGCGGTGCGACTGCACTATTTCGAGATTTGTGTTTCATTAGTCTGTGGCGACTGCTACGTAACGACATTGTAATACATCGCACTAACATGCCACAATAATCAATAGTAAAAAGGCTAACATCACTACAATTGACAGCAACTTTCAACATCCAGTTACAAGATGTCTCTGTACCACTATATTCAAATTAAATATCATTTATTCAGCCTAGGTTGTTGCACTTGTGAATGTCGAAAGCTATGCCGTCGGTTTGCAAATCAACGGCGAGATACTGATTTACTGAGAAATCGGCAAGAAACTCGGCAAGCGGTGTTTTTTTCTCTCTAAACAATGCAAAAACTATACTATAAATCATAGAATAACCTACATCGCCCTTAATGAACGCTACTGCTTCACATATATACAAAGTTCAACCTCACATTGGTTGGACCGCGGTCTCCGGGTTAAGAACACCTAGCTCGGAGGGAGACAATAGGCTACTTGACTGTTTTGCTAAAAGTACTTTAAAACATTCATATGATCTTAATAAATCACTATTACATTTATTTTTCACCAAAAAGTGTTATTAAAAAAGTCAAACAATTAAAACACGTGATTTTTCGATCAGTGACGACATGTTTAGATTTGTTCCTTGGTGTTTTGCTTATTGATATGTGACGTCACACGATACCTTTTATGGCCGCCCGCGTTACTGTTAATACACGGATTATAAAACGTAAATTAATTATGAAAAAATATAGTAAATAATAGTATTTACTTACAATTTGCAACAACATGTTTAATAAATTTATTGTTATAACCGCCACATAGCCAATTATGCTTTAGTCTCCCTTGCACTTCACAATGAAGTCCTGCAATTAGCTGTCCAAGCGTGCGTTATGTCGTCCAACTTGCTGAGCAAAGCAAAATGAACCTTAAGATTGTATCATAAGATAAAACGTGAATTTAACTACCAATGGAATAGCGCAATAGGGTATTTTACACCATATGAGAAAAAAATCTAAAATGAAACTATTCAGAAAGCTTAGGCAATAAGCAGTCGGAAAATGTTACTTTCAGTCCATAAAATAAAGAAATTTAAATGTGAAATTAAAAAATTTCAAAATTTTAGTCTGTGGTCTGCAGCTAAAATTTTGATTTTGTTAGTATTTGACTAAGAGTAAAACCGAAACGTCATTCGGTCTTGTAAACATTGACCAAGGCCTAGGTTATATACAAATAAGCAAGAAACTTCAAGTAAGATCAACACGTTTATAAGTTATTTTAATTAAAATAATACCATGGAAGAGTTAGTCCAAACCAATAATAAATTCTTTGATGACTGGAAAATTGTTTACAACATGAACTGACGTCACTACCACAGAGTAACGTGGCGTTCGGCGATTTTCGTTAAAATCACGCGAAAATTGATAATGAGAAATTTTGATATGGTTTTATTGGCATTTACCGACTTAATAAAAATTATGTCCTTTTTTCAGTGGTTTATTAAGACCTTATTAACGAAATGAGACACTTTTAAAAAATGGTAAAATACCCTATGTCACTCCTTCTAGACAAGCAATGTTCAATCCGTGCAGCGAAAGGGATAACGCTACACGGAATAACAGTGGTGTTCCTCTCGCTGCACGGATTAAATGGTTATAAGAGCTCATATTTAAGCCCCAGGGATTGTGAGATTGTCTCATTATTATTTATTATTTCCAGTTTCTTGATGGAGGCCTATTCAGCTTCTCAACTTCTAGAACAGCTAAGTGCATTAGTGGTATCTTCCGGCCATCTTACTAACAAGCAGAAATGTGCCATCAGTGAAAAATTGGCTATATGTTCCCATCGGCTTCTAGACGGCGGTGCTGAGAGTATGCAGCTGACTGATCTCGGTTGTACCATTATCATGGCTAATAATGATCCTTAGTAAACAAAAATGAACCTTATTGGGAAACAGCGAATGTGCCTTTTAATTACACCGTTAAGTGTTACCACACAACTAAGTTGTGATTGGAAAATAGTATAAAATTACTGAATTGTTACGTCTTTTTGCCACTGAAATGTAGGTGTATAAGAGTAACAAAAAAGAAAACATTTCCATAATATTGTTTGTTAGAAATAGCGTAAAGAAATCTAAACCTATACAGCAATGTTTTCAATCATATTGGAACCTTAGTTTGCCGCTAGAATAGATTGGTACGATGATGTTTTGTTTTTTAAAGTTTTTGAATTAAATAGAATTATTAGCATTGTAAAAGATCGCGTATGATTGACCGAGATAAATAGATATAAACATACATGTGAGTAGCTCGGTGGCGTAGTGGATAAGCGTCGCGGCCCGCGATCGTTGTCGTTAAGCAACTTTCGCTAGGGTCGGTCACGGGATGGGTGACCAAAAAATTATTATCTCGAGCTACTCCATGCTTCGGAAGGCACGTTAAGCCGTTGGTCCTGGCTGCATTTGCAGTCGTTAATACTCTCCAATCCGCATTGGGCCAGCGTGGAGGGTCTTGGCACATCCTCCTTAACCATCCATAAGGAAGGCATGAGCCCCTGCAGTGGGGACGTAAAAGGGCTGATGATGATACATGTGAGAGCTATCGGCCTGTGTCGGTGTACCCTTCCTTTGTGAAGAAAATAAATCCCGTTCATTGAATTCCTAAGTTTTAAAGATTATTTAATGCTTATTAGAATAATGAATTACAATAGTTACGTGTATGAGTACCTAGATGTAACTTATCAAAGAATTGTACTTGCATAATTATGCGTTATACAAAAATATGCATAGAAATTAATTTTGGATAATAACAAAAATTCTGGTTATTTAGTAAGTACTTATAGAAAATATTTTGTGAATATGGCCACCATCCGCTACCCGACATAAATTCTTGAAATATATTTAAACTTCACATTTACATAGAAGAATGTGTTCTTAAACAGTTTAAACAAAAATAATTTTCTCAAAAATTGGGTTTGTTATTTTTAAATTGTAAGACTTAATGGACACTGTTATAAATTATTTTTCTATGCTATGTATTTTCTTTAATAAAATTGTGGAACAGTATTTTATTTTTATTATTTCCTTTGCCTAGCCTCTATATTAGGTTTTATTCAACTATACATCCATGCTTATTTGAAAAGGCCAATATATCGTATGCTACACTACAAACGGTTGGCGAAGTCTTAATAATAGTTCTCATTATACCCTTTGTTTACGGAACCCTAAAAACCGACACACTGCACATCGCTTTGGAAATTGGACGCAATGCTCACATTGTGTCCAAAGTCTGATCCATATATTGACTCATAGATTACATTGGTGCAAATAAGGCTAATGTGTAGCCGCTTTTAGAGGTTAATCTTAATATCATTTATGTATGATACTGAAAACAGACTGGGTACTGTAAATATATTTACATTTAAAATTGTTTTGTCTCCTCTTGCACTGACGCATGCTAGCATTATGTTACATATCAATTGAATGAGCTGGTATGATATCTTATTCTATGGTATTGCGTCTTTCAATTTGGCAATAAATTACTACGACGACATGTTTGAAAGATATTGAATCAAGCAAGCGTTGTACGTAAATATTACCTACTTTAAGTTACTCAAGTTTTAGTTGTCTTTTGATTATTGAAATCATAATTCGTACCGAAATCGATTGCAAATTTAAACGATAGATAATTCCTCATATCGCTATGACAATCGCTCGCTTTACAAAATATACAATCTATTAAATATGAACTGATTTTGATGATTTTTAACGTCGTACTTCATGGATATTTTTTGACATAATACAATAGGTCAATCCCAAGTTCGTACCGTAAAAAAGAATCATAAGGATTAGATCGCCCGATTTTCGTAATCTCGAAAAATTAATAACGAAATAAGAAATAAATCCATGTCTCGTTTATTACTAAAGATAGAATAAGTAAATAAATTATCTATTTAGTTAAATATATACTCTAACTGAGATGTAAAAAAATGATAAATACTTAAAATTATGACTGAACCCAAGAAACTTAATTTGAAGCTGAAATCAGTATACTTACCTACTGATTTCTTATGTATTTGCAAGGCCTGAAACGTCATGAACTCAAATATAAACGCACTACACCCGTTCTTAGTAGTTTTATTTAATGAATAAGTAAACTTAGCTACTACAAAATTAAAGCTAGTCCTAACAAATTCATAAAAAGGACTTTAACAGAAATTACTTGAATTTATTAATTTATCGTAGGGTTAGCTTTTGCTCCAGGATTCATTCATCCGCATGAGGTGAACCGTAGTGTGAACCAGGTAGGCCAAGGCCAGTCACATACAACCTGCCCTTTTCAGGGCGGGGAGGGAGAGCCCTGATTTGAGGCTTGCGGCGAATTTCTCCTACGTTACTACAAGAATAACTGTTAGCTTTTGCCAACGTTTATCCGCGTGGTAAAGTTTACATTGCGCTAGGGAATACAATTTTGCGCAATTATATTTTTTTTCTTAAACCTTTAAAAGAGCAGTTACTGTATTATAATCTCGCAAACGGCTCCAACAATTTTCATAACATTAAGTATGTAGGGGCTTTCAGAGGCGATAAATTTGTTTTAATTAGGTTTAATTTTTTTATTTTATAAAAGTGACAAGTAAAGCTGAGTCATCCAGGTACAAATAAAATAAAAAAATTAAACTGGCGTATCTAATCAAATACGAAATGAAATAAACAATCAGTCTTCTCTGCTAATGTCAAACATAAGTTTAAATAAAATACACAGTTTTTTATAAGAAAAATAACCAGATTACAAATACTAAAATACAACTCATTAACCAAGTTAAATTGACTATTAAAGTAAGATTATTATCAATGAAAGAAAACTATGTGTACCCAGAGATCTATTAAAAATCTATACTAATATTATAAAGTTGAAGAGTTTGTTTGTTTGTTTGAACGCGCTAATCTCGGGGACTACTGGTTCGAATTGAAAAATTATTTTTTGTTGAATAGACCATTTATCGAGGACGGTTTTAGGCTAAATAATATCACGCTGCAACTTTTAGGAGCGAAGAAATAATGGAAAACGCGGACGAAGTCGCTGGCGGCCACTAGTTAGATAATAAATTTACAGAATATACCAATCAATTTAAAGGTTTATTCAGTTCACTTCACACGTCATTATTACGAATAATTTTGAAAGTAGCTTTTAAGAAGCACAAAATGTCCAAAGAATCTTTGCTATTCGTCTTTTATGGTGAGATGACCAGCACAATAATATTTTCGGACGGTTATATAAGTAGCCACTGAGAAGACCCTTTCGAAAACATAAGTACTGTAAAAGTGTAAAACTTCGCATTTTAACCCCCCGGACTCGAATAAATTCACGCTGTCTCACTTAGAATAAATCGTTTTTAGGCTCGGGTGCATTTTTGGAGCGAGATCAACCTCGCTAAAAAATCTCGCGGGAACGACTGCATTCCCTACATCGGGCAGTGATTTCAAAAAGTTTTTATGAAATTAATTTAAAATTTAAGGAAGTATTTATGTCTTAACAAATGCTTAAACATAGTGTCTCTTATATCTTTGACGATGACGAAATTTCATACATACTTACAACCCCTTCAATCACTTTTTTTCTTGATAAAAGTTACCTATCCTTACCAAAGGTAAAGTTTATATCTGTAGGTACTTTATATTTAAATTGTTTCAGAGATTTACATTCAGACGAAGTTACTTTTACATTTAAAATATTAGTAGGGGTCAATATGTTAGTCGCTTATATCCAGATAACGTATGAATAATAAGCGTTAATATCTCAAGTCGTAGGGGACTGATGTAAAATGGTATAATATTATAAACGGGTTTTAGTGTATTTAGTTTATTAAACCACCTTTAGGGACCTAAACGTCACAACAGACCACCCTGAAAATTACTGAATTCTATTTAGTTTTGTGCTTAAAATTAGTTATCAAATCAAAGTACGTAGCTTATTATTTTCTACTACTACTTAATAGACCATGTTATAGGTACCTAGTTATAAATGGTATTGTAAAGTGGAAATATTATTAAATAGTGTATCGTGAAATGTTATATTGTGACAATTGCTTATAACATTACCTACGATACAATATCTTGTAATTCCACACGTTTTCATTCCCGTTACATTTGCTTCTTGGAAGTTTAACCGTTTAACTGCCATATTTTTTATGTCGTCAAATGGAAACCACGTTTCCATTGAAGTTCGTTGAAATCTTTTTTATAATGAAATTGTAAGCTCTTGCTAGATGCAAGTAATTCTTTCATTAAATATCATTTTCTTTACATATGCCATTTGATATTATAAGGGTTTATAGAAATTAATGGTGTTGAATGTTTTCATCTACTCAATCTCAGGATCAATTAAGTATCTCTTGTATAGTTAGTTATATTCTGCATTTTACGCGCGCGTTCATTTCACTTCCGCCGTCGTCGGTTGAACGGACGGGCGAGTAGGAAAGAAAGAAAATAACGTTCTTATTGAAAAGATTATATCGGACGGCGAGGCGCGGCGCGGTGGTTTCTCCCCACCACGTCACGGTTTGCGCGCGCAGATCTGCCATTGGTCGCCGCCAATGCCTCCCCTCCGCGCGGGGCCGCACGCGCAGCGTCTAGATTCCCAGATTTCAAATCTCGACCGTTTATTTCGTAGTGAGCGGCCAGAGCGCGCGCATCGTCGGTGCAGCGCGGACGTATTAGTTCTACTTGTTTAAAAAAAAACACGGCAACGTGCTCGTGAACTGTTCGGTGCTACAACGTGACATCGCAAACGATAAGTGCGTGCAGTGTCGAGCCAGCAGTACTACGGCGTTCGGCGGAGGAAGGTCAATTTCTTTCGATGAGTGGAGGTTTAGTGCATGTTTTTGTACATCATGACTAGATCCACACTCATCCATGGAAGTTGCGTGGTTCTACGGAGAGGAGGCCTCGGCGGCGTGAGACCGGACGCAGGCGGGCACTCAGCGGGCCGGTGATTACGGGCGGGTATCATTACTGCGCACGGTAATGATACGTTGAGCGCGGCAGGTACGAGCCGCAACATCGAGCCGACCGCGTCTCTACCTGCCCGTGTCGTGACGCCCAAAAATGTCATTTAGATACACTTTGCCGCTGCTTAGCTATTGGCTATTCAGAGTGAGTTTTTGCTGTAGTTTTTTAAGTACTGGAGGTAAAGAAAGGTTTTTTTACGTTTGAGTCATGTTTCCGTTCGTTTATTTAACCAGATAAGTGTAAGTACTATCAAGTTTTAAAACACTTGAGAGTTTTTCTTAATAGAGTTTATCAGCGCCTATCCCTAAAACGGGCCTACGAGGAGTGCGGGTGAAGGGAAGGGGCCTGTAGATAGCGGCGCAAGCGCATCTGCTCCTTCTGAGAAAGGCCATTGTGGCGGTCCCGAGGTGGTCAGTGCGGTGACGTCACGGGCTGGGGCCGACAACCTTTCCCCCCGTTCCTTACCCCCGCTAAAATACATCCGCCATCATGCGTTCATGTTTTTGCATCACTGTGTTAATTATTGTCCTTGTAGCTGCGTGCGCTCAGCGCAGGTAGGGCTATAAATGCTTCTATACAAATTGCACAATAGTGAGAAGCGTAAATTATTCGTAAGCGTTTTGTATAAAGCCTTTTTAAAAGTTACTTATGAAAATAGTATTTATTCTATCTATAATAGAAAATGCTCCTTTCTTATGTTTTTTTATTTGCAACGGGTGGGAATAAAAAAACGCACCTAACCCGTTAGTAGGTAGTTATAAATGTAATAACATTTTACTGATGAATTAAGTAAATAAATGTATTAATGTTACGAAAAATCCCACATTTTATATCTTACATAGATTGTAGTATCCTTATAATCTTTTGGTATAAAATCATGAAGAAATTACTTAAATTCCGACTGACTGTTTTGATAAATTACTGCTTTGTAGACATGAAATTTCCAGATGCTCCATTTTGCCATATTCTGTAGCAACAAAAATATTATATGGGTATAAAAACACAAATAGAAAAATTGTTTGGCAGAGCAACAAAACTTGAAAATTTTCCATA